GTTTGTTCCATTCTTCTTTTTGTGGAAGATTGAGTTCCATCATTAGGTTTTTTTTTTTATTTGAGTTCTCTCTGTTTTCCTAACATGAGTATTTACTGCTATTAATTTTCCTTGTAAGACTGCTTTCATGTGTCCCATAGATTCACATATGTTGTATGACATTGTTATTTAATTGTAGAATCAGTCTGATTTCTTCTTTAATTTTCTCTGTAAGCAATTTGTTATACAGAATTATGTTTTTCAATTTCCATGTGTTTATGAAGTCCTTCTGGTTTCTTATGCTATTGGTCTCCAATTTCATTACACTATGATCTGATAATATACATGGTGTAACTTCAATTCCTTTGCACTTGTTTAAATGTGTTCTATGAGCTAGAATGTGGTTTATTTTGGAGAATGACCTGAATGAAGCTGAAAAGAATGTGTATTCTGGCTTTGTGGAGTGGAACACTTGATGAACATATGTTAAGTCTATATCTTCAAGAGTTTGAGTTCTAGTATTTAATTGTCTATATGTTGTCTATTTGATCTATCTGTTTGTGACAGTGTGGTATTGAGTTCTCCCAATACTATTTTATTAGTGCTTATATGATTTTTAGTGTTCATTCAGATTTGTTTAATATAGTTAGGTGCACTAGTATTTGATACATATATTTTTATGATTGTTATCTCTTCCTGTTGGATTGTTCCCTTTACAAGAATGTAGTGGTGTTCTTTGTCTCTCTTAATTAGTGTTGGTTTGAAAGCCTTTTTATCTGCAAATAAGATATATACTCCTGCTTTTTTACAGGTTCCTGTCACATGGAGTATTGTTTTCTTCACTTTAACATTTAGTCTATGATTTTTTTTTAAATTAAGCATGTTTCTTGTATGCAGCATATTGCTGAATCTTGCTTCTTGACCCATTCTGCCCATCTATATCTTTTTTGCTTGGTGAATTGAAACCATTTAAATTAATGAGTATAACTATCTGTATTGACTTGTCTTTGTCATTGACTTTTTCTGTTGGATTCTCCTCCTTTGCATTAAATTTGCATAAAATTGCCTTGCCTGATGGATTCATTCTGTTGCACTTCCTGGGGGTATGATTCTCATTGTCTTTTCCTAGGATACTGTTTAAAATTTTTTGGAGTGCTGATTTGGTATCCCTGAATTTCCTCAGGTGCTCTTTCTTGTGAAAGCATTATATTTCTCCATCAACTTTGAAAGATAGTTTTTCAGGGTACATTCATCTGGGTTGGAGGTTGTTTTCTTTTAGGGCTTGAAATAATTCACTCTAGGCTTTTCTTAACTTGAGGGTTTGTGATGAGAAGTCTTCTGTGATTCTAATGGGCTTTCTTTTGTATGTGATTTCTTTCTTTTCTTGAACTATTTGTAGAATTTTGTTCTTGTATTGGGTTTCTGGCATCTTAACCATTATATGCCTAGGTGTAGATGTATTTTTTACCATGGCTACTTGTAGTCCTTATATACATATATGCTTCACTTATCTGTATGTCAAATTCTTTTCCCCTGCTTGGAAGTTTTCTGCAATTACTTATGTGAATTGTTTTCTTTATGTCACTTACGCTTTATCCTGTTTGTTTATTGACTCTGATCAGTCTTATGATATTCTTCTTTGCATCATGCAGAAGCTGCTGGATTTATTTCTCATGGCCCATCATTATTTTAAAGAAATTTTTCTTTTTCCTGGTACTAATTGTAATCCATCTTCTATATCTGATATTTTGTCCTCACATTGCCTCATGGTATTTGATAAACTTTCAACTGAGTTTTTAACCTGCTGGATATCTGTTTGCATCTGTTTTACTTTTGTTTCCTATGTTTAGATTCCATCATGTTCCTCAGCTCCTTTTTTTAATCTGTGTTTGCTCTAGAGTTATTAATCATGTCTTTCACTATGGACACAATCTCTGTTGTTATCTGAGAAATTATTTCTGATTTCAATTTTTCCAGATCCTCTTTCCTTGCCAGTTCAGGGAGTCCAGTTGGTTGAGTATTAGATTGTTCCATCTCATTGCCATTGGGGTTGTGTTAGGTGATCTGGAAGCTTGGTTTTGAGTCATGTTTCTGTGTCTTCTCATTTCAAGAGATTCAGCCTGCTTCACCTTTATTGGGGCAATTCACAGTGGGCTTCAATTCACAGCAAGCCTCAGATAAGGCCTTCTCTTTGCTTTTTACCAGTGTACCAATTCCTGGGTTCAGAATTTTGGCCTTCTGGATCCATGTGCTGCACTGTTTTCTGGATGAGGTTCTGGCTTTTGCCTGCACATACTTAGAATTGTATCTGGGCTTTTCTTTGACTAATGCCTGCTGGCATGCCAATATCTGTTGCCAGTTGGTTTGTGCAGCTGTTTTCCAGTGGGCCTTTGGCTCTGGCCTGGGCCCAAGTTGCTGGTGTCTGAGCAGGGCCCTGGCTGAGAACTGCGCACACACACTTCTCTGGTCCATGTGGGCTTCTTGCTGCATATACTTATCAATAGTATCATGGTGGACCTCTGGCTGTTACCTGTGCACTTTCACAGCTGTTTTCTAGGTGGGCCTTTGGCTGGGGCCTTAAATTGAAATATTTCAATCACATATTGTAAAGTTGTTGAGTTCCAAATCTGATAATGGATATAAAACTGTTTGAAACATTGTAAAATGCTACAAAATGCACAGGTTTGTTATTGTCAATGTGGTCACATTCTTTTCCTGATTAAAATTGTATATCTGATCAGAGTTTACAAATAGATAGGTTCTTCAAGCTAGAAAGACACATATGGTTTGATGAGTGATTCTCTCAGTGGCCTCTGACTAATAATTATTAAATTTATAATCCATCACCTTTAAAATCATCTACTCCCACTGGATCTATGTGAAGATAAGATGAAGAGCAATAATTTAAAACTATGTGTAATTGGTTGTAGGAGGGTACAGAGTTGAAAAGCAGAAACTATATAAGAAATTCAGAAAAGAAGACTAGGTATGGCAATGTAAGCAATAGAACAAAGGAAAACCAAGGTGAGAGAGATACTACAGCATCTCATGCAGATGTTACCAGTATTTCATAAAAGAAAACTCTTAGAGATGATTGATTTTTTTTGTGGGAGTGTAATTAAGCGATACCATCTCAGGGTAAACAGCATTGTCTTAATCTTGGGAACTTTGAAGGAGTACAAGAGTCTCTACATTTTTGGCACAGGTATGTGGGTGGGGAGCTTTGTCTCCACAAATGGGTTGGCTAAAGAAACAATATGATGGGAAAGGGAATTGGATCCTGGGAATGAACTCACATTGGCAAGAAAAGATGATATTTTTTCCTATACTCCAAGCTGTTTCTAGGAAACAAGCATTGTTTACCTTTCAGAGAACAGAAGAAAAAATTACATTTCTTTCACTGGGGAGGAAAAAAAACATATTTCTGTCTGATAATCTCTTGGCTTGGGCTTGTTTATTTATCAGCTGCTAGGAATCAATTGTTTTCTGCTGCCAAGTTTTAGCCCATGTGACCTATATAATGTGAACATGTATCATAAATCAACAAGGGAGAACAGTACCAATGTGCCTAGTGACATCTCAGTATCTGTGGTTAAAACCCTTTCAATTACTTTTTTCTCTACTTTCCTTGCTTGTCTTTTTCTTTTCTATACTCTCCTTCTCCTTTCTTCTCCTTTTTCTTTTCACTTTCATTTCTTTCCTATCTTTACTTTCATGGTCTCCTCTCATCGTCCTTGTTCTGCTTTCCTTCTTTTTTATCTTTCCTTGAAATCTGTGGGATTAATTTGTTTCTTATCATCCTGAGGTGGTTCAGATCTCAGGCATATGAGTATCCACAAAATTTTTCCACCCTCATCTAAATGCAAAGCCTGTGTTAGCTCAGCTCTTTAGTCTGCCAGCCAAAGAAGGAAAGACTGATCCCTAAATGGATTCTAGTTTACTTCAATTCAATATAAAGTGATTCAAATCAAGATGCTTCTACATTTTCTCTGGAGAAGGATCACTTCATGGTTTAATACAACTTCTTTTTTGTTCTGACTATTCCTTGGTCTGGTATGCATCTCCTTTGTTTTATTTATAACTCATTTATAGCCCATTTATTTATAACCCATGACTCCTGGTTTGATAATCTTGGACTGCCCTAACATTTCTGCTCTTTCTTTAATGCTAATTTCTTTCTAGGATGTTACAATTAGTGTATAGATATCCCCAGTGCCTCATATGGGCATAGGGGAGCTTTTCAGAGATGACTGGATCTAGAGTGCGATGTAGGGGTTAAGTGTGTGATGCTGGTATGGTGCAATGCTAGGATTAAAGTGTCTCATACTGAGTGTGAGTGTTAGCCACCCTAAGTGTCAGTAGCCTGGATAAAAGGACAATAAAGTGTAGCTTGCTGCTATTGTCACTTTTTGCTTTTGCTGTCTTCTGGCTGCCATGAAGTTGTTCTTCTTTGTGATGGCCTTTAGCCATGCCACCCTCCCATGGAACCAGCCAATTATGGGCTAAAATCTCTACAAGCAGTTAGCCAAAATAAACCTTACATTCTGTGGCTTTGGGTGTTAGGTATTTTGACTCAGCAGTGAGAAAATTAACAAAGACCTATATGTATATATTGAGTTTTCCTAGAGCAAGACTTTTTGTCTCAGTTATGTTCAGTGGCTACTATTCCATGAAGCAGATTGAGGCAGGAGGATTTTTGCAAACTTCAGTCCAACTTGGGCTATACAATGAGTTTGAGGTCTGTCTGAACTACAAGTGAAATCTTGTCTGAAAAAGTTAAAAAAAAAAACTTAATGGAATACTATGCATGTGCTATCTTATTTTCTCTAAATAAATAAGCTTTACTTCTTCCTTTGCAATCTGGAAAGATCAGTAAAAATGTTACATTGCTGGCTGTAGTGGTATTTGCCAATAATCTCAGTAATTGAGAAGCTGAGGCTAGAGAATCACCATGAGTTCAAGACCAGCCTGAAGTCATTCTCTCTTTCTGTCCCTCTCCCTCTCTCTCCCTCTCTCCCCGCCTCTCTCTCTCTCTATATATGCACAAAAATACAAAAACTGGTTACCCTGAAGAGAACCTCAAACATAATGTTTCACAGTCCCGCCCAAATCCACTCTCCTTTATGAACTCATCAGTGTCTCTAGACGTATTTGCGTGTATACAACATGCAACTATCCCTCACGACTTCTGGAAGCTGAATACCCGCCTCACCTCTGGTACTGGGTTCAACCGCACCCCGGGTAGTGCGTCTACTGAGAAAAGCAACCGGATAATTTGAAACAAGACTAGGGCACCTAGTGGAAACAGTCCGTTCCCGGGAGTCTGACAGCACGAAGGCAGTGATTTCAGACTGGGAAACAAACACTGAGGGGAGCTCAGTGGAGGCTGGGGAGTGGGAGTGGGGTGGAAGAACGCCCTGGTGCTGTCCAGAAGGAAGTAAAATGCAAGTGCAGAGGACAAATTGGTAGGAGGGCAACACGGTGCACATCTCCACATGGTCTTGGGGAGGACCAGGCTGGCAGGAAGGAAGGTCCAGGTAAGACCCAAATTAGGTAACGACAGGGGGAGGGCCAGAGCAGCGTGTACCACTGGATGGGGGTGGCCTTGGGAAGGGCGGGGAGGAAGGACCCTCTCCCTGGAATGCGATGAAAGACAAGTGAGCATAGGCAGGCAAAAGGGGTGGAGATCGGTGTGGGAGAGCTTTGCAGGGCTGGGAAGTAAATTCCCCCTTCTCCAAGCATAGCAGGTTGGAGGGGCCATACCCTCCCTCCCGCATGGACCTGTCCAGATGGTGTTTTGTGACATCCAAGCCTCTCTGCCCACCCAGGGCTACTATTGGCTGGTGACTCGCTGACCGAACAAAGCCCGAGGGCGTGGCCACCTCAGGGGCATCTATATAGAGGGAGGGCAGGCCGGACCCTGGGCAGTCCGCTTGGAGGAGCTCACCTGAGAACCTCGACAGGTACCCCACAGGGCACAGCACAGGACAGCGGACCCTGCTGAGCAGGAAGACAACAGCGACCTCAGCTGCTAAGCTGAAGGGAAAGGTGAGTAGACATCAAGCTCCTCCCTTGTCCCCCTTGACAGTCCTCCCAGGAGGCCTAAGGTCCCAGACTGTACCCCTTCGCAGGAAGGCCCTGTTCGCCTGGCTTCTCCCTCTGTTCCCCCAAACCGGTGCTCTTCTTGATCTCCCTGTGTGCTTTCAGGTACACAAGAAATCCAGCGGGACCAGGAGACCCCGTCCCCAAAAGGGAAAAGATGGCGCGGGGACTCCACCGAAGAGGCGGAAAGCCCCGCCAGGTTTTGGCCCTCCTCAATAGCAGGGCCAACAGCGTGAGCAAGGCCAGCAGGATGCGCCAGGGCAGGAGCAGGTCCGTGGGCACCAGGCGGAGAAGCCCAGCCCCACGCGTGCTGACCTGCAAACCCCCAGCAGCCCGGAGAGGCCGCAAGAGAGGCCCCGCCAAGCAGGGCCTAAACAGGTCCACCCGAGGCCGTGGAGCCCAGGCCCCACGCAAGGGGATGGCAGAGTCCCCTGCCAAGAGAGGTGTTCGGAAACCTCGCTGTTATCTGAGAGGTGGCTAGAGGTCTGCCTGCCTCTGCCTACCTTGAGGCAGTCCCTCCAGAAACTTTCCATCCACACTACCCAGTGATGGGGGCAATAAACTACCTCTGTGGACCTGTGAACGTGTGTCCGTGTGCTCTCTGGGGTGCTCTCTGAGGGCGGGGAGGAAGCAAGGGAGGGAAGAGGAAAGGGGTCCTGTGAGGAGCTCCGAAGGAGGGATCCTGATTGAATACTGAGGGGGGAGGGAGTGCAGCTCACACACAGGGAGGCCATGGAAGGGAGGAAGGGAAGGTGGGCCAGAGGGAGAGAGTGCGAGGGGAGGGAACGGCCAGATAGGGCATGGGAATGGCAGGGGGAGGGAGGCATGGAGGGAGGGAGAGAGGGAGGAGAAGGGAAAGCAAGATAAGGTAAGGGAGGGAGCACAGAAGGGCGGAAAAGATGAAGGGAAGGTGCGGGAAGGGAAGAAGAGAGGAAAGTAGAGAGGGAAGGAGGAACGCGGGAAGGGGCGAGAGCGG